TTAATTTGCTCAAGGTTATAGAGCTAGTTGAGCTGGAACTTGAACTTGGCTCCATGCTGTTTTCAGAAAAGAAGCTGCTTTCTTGTTACTTTTAATAATGCTGAATTTTCTAAATTAATTGTTTATCAGATAGACCTGGGTTCAAGTTCAGTCTCCACCACTTGCCAGTTTTGTGAACTTGGTGAGATACCCAATATTTTCTCATTTTCTTCAGCTTTAAAGTCTGTGTAGCAATACCTCTCTTCTCAGAGGGCTGTGGAGAGAGTTTAATGAGGTAATACCTAGCAGGATGCACAGTGGGCAACTTATTTAGTAAATGGTAACTGCTTAACAGATATTATAGTTAATCCATGGAAGTTGGTGAGGGCATTTGGTCCCCAAGATGGGATTTATATGGAGGACAGTGGTAGAAAGTGTGGGGGAAATGAATGAATGGTTGCATGGGTAAGTAAATGGAAAACTAGTATATATGTATTAACCCATGCTCCTTTTTTAAGCAGTTTGTTGTTTTGGCAACTGGTCAGCACATAGTAGTGTTTTAAAATTTTCACCTGGGTGAAATCACTTTCTTTGGGTGAAGTAATTCTGCACAATTTTAGTGATGTCTGGTGCCACAACTGGAATCTGCTTATTGTTTTTGGAAATAAAAAGTAGTTGTAGCATCAATTTGAAAAGTGAGCTTTCTTTCCCTTTTGGGGGAGGTTTTATTTCTGTCTCAGTTTCTATGAGTCTTGAGCACTTTTGAAATATTTTCAAAATAGGGAAAAAATTATACACGTAGTTGGAATATTCATATTTGTAATGAAATCCTCCTAAAAAAACACCATCCATTCTACCTTGCTTATTTGGCTTTGTTAAATATGTAGTTGTAAAAATAAATTTGATGTTTACTTTGAAGTATTAAAATTTAATCTCCTTCCTTCCAGGACATAATTCTGTGCTGTTGTCCTTGCTTACCTAGGAAATCTCATTGCTGTCACAAGTGCACGGGTAGAATGAGCATCTGGGCTGCACAGACTCCCAGGGGCCCTGCTGTCTTTGGGGCCAGATGTCCCTCCCAGCGGTTATTGTGGGAACTGGGCCTACGTGCCTTTTAGACAAGAAAGTGATTCTGAATCTTAGCCCTTTGTGAACTGTTTGAAAAACAACTGTTCCAGATTCCAGACTAACAGATTTTGGATCTGTTGTCAGAAGGACATCTTCTTGCCATGCATTTGTGTTTTTGGATCACCTTATTATGCTGTGTTCTGAAGAATTTATGTGTTGGCAGTTGAGTCATTTAAGGAGGAAATGGTCTTAATGTGAGTCCCCCTTCCCCTTCAATTTCTCTCTTGTGATTGAAAGTACTAATGCTCCTACTGGTGGTTCCAGACCCTGTTATTTTTTCAGTACTCATTGATCCTGCTGTGTGCTACGTGATGGGAAAAGAATACCAAGAGGAACACGTTCTCTTTGAAAGAACCTAGAGCTTAGTGGGAGAAAACGACATCCTACAAAAAAATGAGTGTGATAAATCAACGTGAGGGCTGTGACTACAGGATTGTCCAGAATCATGATGCCCAGGGCTGAGAGTGGCCAGGTGTGCCTGGGGCTCTGTTAGGAGAGGCTTGTATGGTGATGTGCTATTGAGTCGTGAAGTTGGGGTAGTCATCTGTGGGTTACCACATGCTTTAGTCACTAAGGTGTCTTCA